TTCTCCTTCTCCTTCTCCTTCTCCTTCTCCTTCTCCTTCTCCTTCTCCTTCTCCTTCTCCTTCTCCTTCTCCTTCTCCTTCTCCTTCTCCACTTTTCCTTGACCCCAGTGGCCTATTCAGTTTGACTTCCCTTTTTTCTCTCCTTTGCAGATTCAGGTTGGAGTGGAATTTGAGGCCAACACCCGGCTTCAGGACACAAGCTTTGCTTTTGGGTATCAGCTCACCCTGCCCGAAGCCAATATGATTTTCAGGGGTGAGTGAAATCAAACCATCAGCAGGTCCTGCTTCCCATCAACCCTTTCTTCCTCGTTTGGGGAACGAGGGTCTTTTCCATTTTGCTTGCCAAAGTCAGTCGTCTCCTTAGCTTGGGGGAGGCAATATATTTTTCCTTTCTGAAGACGGCTACACATTTCTGAGGTGTCATTGTGGCAATTCACGAGCCAAGAATGTTCCAGAGGAGATAGGAATCCCACACCTCAAAGAGAGCACTTCCAACATCTTGTCAACCTTCCCTGTCCACATCAGACACCTGTGGACCGTACAAACACACAATCGCACGCTCCCACTTCTTTCCAGGGTTCTGGAGGTCTTCTCTGAGCAGAACCAGCCTTGAAACATCAAGGTCCTTCAAAAGAGGCAAAGAGAACATAGCTGGTGGGGCTGGAGAAGGAAGTTGATCCATCTGGGCTGCTTGTAGAGAACATGGGAGGTGGGCTACGGACTCGGGGGAAGCCGTATTGCCATTTTAACTCCTCCTCCTTCTTTCTTCAGGGTTTCTGGACAGTAACTGGTGCGTGGGGGCAGTTCTGGAGAAGAGAATACTTCCCTTGCCCGTGACCTTAGCTCTGGGCGCCTTCCTCAACCATTGGAAACACCGGTTCCATTGTGGGTTCAGTATCATTGTGGGTTGAGAGCCTGGCTCAGCCTGGGCCCGCTGCAAAAGAGGCGGTTGGGGTTTAAACGCGGAGCAGCTGCTCGGCCAGAGCAGTTCAGCCCGGGACAGACGTGAGAGTCTTCATGCGCGTGCACGGCAGAGCGACCTCCCGCAGGCATGTGGCGCTGCAACGGCAGCCTCCGTGGGTCCACGCACCCTTCCTACCTTCAGGAAGCACGCGCAGGTGAGATGGTGCCCTTTTCTCACCCGTTTACGGGCACGGAGCTCTGATTTTGCTGGGTTAGGGCAGCGTTAAAGCCGGGCACGGGATCTCCGGCCAGGCGGCTGGAAACTTTTCTTGTTTGATCGTTTTTGGAGAGCACCAATCCCTGGATTCCCCAGCGGAGCCGAGGGATCGGTGCCATCTCGGTGTGGGTGACGTTGGGACCCTGAAATTCTGGAGACCTCGGACCCAGCCGCCGTGCCTTGGACCGTTGGCAGACACTGGGCTATTCTGTTTACTCAGGACACGGGCGAAAACCAGAGTTGGGGCTTCTGTGTAACGGGGACTCTGAATCGAATTAAAATGATGGAGAGGCTGGGCTTTCTACCCCCTCCAAACACACCTTTTCTCTCGTTTTTTTATGCCTTTGTTGGGTATCGAGGAGGGAAACGGAGCTCCCTTTCTCAAAGATTAACCTGCGACAAACGCGGGCATTTTATCTCTTTGCAAATCGGCACTCGCGGTGCATTTCTTATAGTTATGGATTCACTGGGGGGGAAGGAAGGGGAGGGAGAGGAGAGAGCCACGAATCCACAGAAGCCACTCAGAAGAAGAAGAATATTGTAAAATATTCAGCATTGTACATAACAACGCTGCTATCGCGGTGGCAATCTTTGGAAGAGGTGGTCCAAGCGGCGGGTTTTCTCTGACATTCAGGAAGAACGCTAACGCATCTCAAAACCGAAAGCGTGTGCCATTTATTCCTGGAACCCATGAATTGGCTAAAATGTCTGTGGGTGATGAAGTTCTTTTCCTTAAGGCCTTTTTCTTCAGCGGGACCCCTGCTTTCGTTTTATTCCCACAAAATACCCTTTGGTGAAGCACAGGGAGTTTGCATCTGATGAGAGGCACGCTTGCTTTCCCCCCGTCAAAATGATAACGTTGAAAATCATCTGAGCTGATCTCCCCCCGTAATGTGCCTGGTTCTGAAACTAGATTTTTTCCCCTAGCTTTTTCAATTTTTCGCAAATTGTTTTTGAGTTCCCCTTCAACTCTAATGCTCCTCCCTCCCTATTTGGGGGGCTGATGAGCAAGTTTAAAAATTTCAGGGGTGGGCAACTAGGCTTTCCCCAGGGGGTTGGCCACGGCCACAAAGTTGCCTGGGATAGAGAGTCTCTTGGACGACAAGGTGAGGGTCTTCCAAAGAGAGTGGTCCTTACGGGAGGGCCACCAGATTGCAGATGCAGGAACTTGGATGGTCACTAGGAGGCAGCAAAGAGAAAAAAGTCTTAATGCTTTGCAGTCTTTGCTGCCATCTAGTGTTCAGTGGTTTGAACTTCTAGCTCTTAGGATCGCTCTGAATCCTTAGAATATTTGGGAGCCGGACTCCCTGTCCCATGTTACAACTTGGTACAGAGGGATAGCTACAAAACACTGACCTAAATCAGTGTTTCTCAACCTCTGCAAGTTTAAGATGTGTGGACTTCAACTCCCAGAGTTCCCCAGCCCACGTGGGTGGACTTCAACTCCCTGGCCCGCGTGGGTGGACTTCAACTCCCAGACCTCCCCGGTCCGCATGGGTGGACTTCAACTCCCAGAGTTCTCCAACCTGCATGGGTGGACTTCAACTCCCAGAATTCCCTAGCCAGCAGTCCACACATCTTAAACTTGCAGAGGTTGAGAAATGCCCATCTAAATAGATGCAAAGCCATTGGAAACTCCTTTCCTGCCACTTTTGAGTGTGGAAAAAGCTATAATAATTTTATAAACCTGCAGGGAAAGCTTTGAGTGAACAAAAGAAAGATAGAAACCCCAGTTGAAAAATAAACCATGGGTTTTTTTTAATGCAACCATTAAAGTGCGGGTAGGGAAGAGCCTGCCTCCTCCTTGTGCCAGAAAATTAGCAGAATTGCATTTCAAAATCGCCAGGTGTGGTGCAGAGACAAGGTCTCGCAGCTGGAATTCAGTCCGAGATTTTATGCTGGGGGAAAAGGATATTTTTGATCCGTGGGAACCTGAGCAGGGAACTCTCCCGGAATCTCTCCCAATGTTCCTCTCCGTACCTGTGTCTGGGAGAGTTATTTTCTTTAATATGTCCTTTCTCCCCAATATCTTGTGCCTGAGCTGAGTCTGTGTCTTCGGCTCGATTCAGACAGCGCGTTTCTCTTTTATCACGTGGCTTGGTGTGTTTTTAGGCTTCGGGCCAAAGAGGAGTTCCTGATGCTCAGCAAAACCCGCCCCACGGTGACACCACTGTGTAAGCCTCTCCTTTAGGTGCCTCTTACGTTGTGAGATTTTTGTAGTGATATCTCTGACTATGCTTAGATGTTGTGAAAGCACATTTTGTTCCTTGCTTGCCAAACCTGATTTTTGCTGGCAAGGAGTAATGAAAGTTCCTTCAATTTTAATTTTAATTTTAATTTTAATTTTAATTT